CATTATTATAATTATTATTATTATTATTTATTATTTTATTATGAATAAAATAATTCGTTTATATTTTATATTTGGAAATTATAAGGGATTCAATTTTTTTATTTTTTTATTTTATATTTGTTTAATTTATATATTTTATTAAATATATTTTAATTTTAATTTCAACTCATATTTGTATTAAAATAATATATAATTTTAACGATGAACATTATTATTATTATTATTATAACATATGCAAAGATTTCAAAAGATGCAATTAAAAAAAAATATATATATATATATATTAAATAGATATAAAAGATCATGATTATAATAATTTTAATGATTAATTTTTAAAAATTTGGATTTCCACGATCAAGAGATTCTTCCTATAATTTTGGAGATGAAAGGTAATTTCAATATTACAAAAAACATTTAATTATTCATTCATATTTTATTATTATTATATTATTATTATTATATTATTATTATTATTATTATTATTATTATTATTAATATTAGTATTTATTAATATATATATATATTATATATTATTATTATTATTATTATTATTATTATTATTATTACTTTTATATATTAATATAAAATAGTATCATCAAATAAAATTAACACTTTTACTTAATATTATTGAAAGATAAAGAGTCTCATTAGACTTACATCTAGTAATCTTGTAATAATTAAGCTCAGTATATCTAAATATAATTTAAACTTATGAATATATATCTATTTAATAATACTAATTATTTTTTTTATTCTAATAAAACATTAATAATAATAATAATAATAATAATAATAATAATAAAATATAATTATTATTATAATACTTATATTTATATACACTATTAAATTATATATTTATATACATAATATTAATTAATTAAATAAAGAAATTATCGTCATAAACAAATAATGTAATACATTTTAAATTTAATATGAGCTGAAAATAGTCAGCAATATATTTTAAAGATTTCATTAACTAAAAATAAAACTCATAAATATATAATAAAAAAAAAATAAAAAATTATCAATTCATAATCTATATATATTATAGATTTTACAAATGTGACTAAAACATTGTTAAAAATAATTAAAATTACGTAAATAAATCATCACAAGAATAATTATTTTAATTAATTTACTATAAATACTCTAAATAATAAATATTTGATCCTAAATTATATAAATAAAAAAAAAAATTTTTTTTCTTATTTTCAAAAATAATATTTAAACATTTTAACTTCATCATGAGTAGAAAAGGAAGGAAAAAAACATTCAACACCAAAACCAAATTGAGAGCGAAGTCATTCCCATTAATGAGAACAACTCTCAAATTTAAAAAGGCATTACATTCAATTATTCTGAAAATTTTAATTGAGTAATTGAATTAACTCCTGAGAATTATTTGGAGTGGAGAACAAGTATACTTTATTTATTATGTATAAATAACTTAGACATATATGTCACCAAAGAGAAAGTTAAATTGCAAAAGAAAACGTGACATTAAAGACAACATAGATAACTACATTCCTGATAAATTTGATGATTCCTTTGGTTTATGATAAAGGCACATCTAACCAAGATATCACAAATGAGATTCTAATGGGAATATTGTGAAAAGAAAAACGAGACTTGTGGCAAGAGGATTCACACAAATATATGGTATAGACTATAAAGATACTTTTTTCCCTACGCTTAAACATGATTCTATTAGAATTATCACTACAATAGCTGTATAAAAAAAACTTTGCTATAAAACAAATAGATATAAATTTGGCATAATTAAATGCTAAACTTAATAAGAATATATATATGTATATCCCTGAAGAGCATTCTTCATTTGGCAAAAAAGCAGTTTTGAAAGTTAGAAAAGGTACTTTACGGACTGGAGCAAGCAGGTAAAGAATGGAATAATAAACTAAATGAAGAGTTATTAAAAATAAATTTTATAAGATTAAAAAAGTGATCCATATATATACGTCAAATTTGATTCGAAAAATAATATTGAGTGTATGTTAGCTGTCTATGTAGATGATATATTAATAGCCAGAAATCTTTCTGAATTTGAAAAAGTGAAACGAACGATTAAAGATAAATTTAACATTAAAGACATTGGTGTGGTGAATTTTGTAATTGACATAAAAAATTTGAAAAACTACAAAGACAGATATATACTACACCAAAAAAAAAAGATATATAAATGATATATTAAATAAATTCATTACAAGAAAAAATAAACTGACCAAAAATTTGATTCCTATAGAAAATGAACATTTATGAATTAAAGCCATTTAATTAAAACAATTTATCAAAGTGCTATAGGCAATCTTTTATACTTGGTCATATGCACACACCCAGATATTTTATTCGCTGTCAATAAAGCACCTAGAAAATCCAAAAACCTAAATATGGAAGATTTGGGAAAGTGTGATTATGATTTTTAAAGATTTAAAATATACTACCTACTATCTATGAATTACATTTTTCTAAAAAATAATATTATTAAAAATTTATACAGATGCTGACTAAGCTGGCAATAAAACTACTCAAAAGTTTACTTCAAGATTTCCTGATCAAGATTGATGATTCACCAACAAGCTGATTTTCTAAACTTCAGCACTGTGTCTCAACTTCCACCATGGAAGCAGAATACTAAGGTCTTAGCGAATTCGTGAAGTATGCCATGTGGAATGAAAATTTATTGAAGGAACTAAAATACAGCATAAATTTTCTGATAGTAAATATTGATAATAAAGTAGCAATATATAATAGTACCAACCATTCCATCCCAAAAAAACAAACCTATCGAGATTAGATATCATTATATAAGAGAATTAATTGGTGATGGCAAAATAAAATTAAAGTATATTAAATCTTAAAAAAATTTAGAGGATGGTTTTACTAAATATTTAAATAATTCTTTAATGAATAAATTCAGGCATTCTCTTTTTGTTAAACTTGAATAACCTCACATAGTAAATCAATTCTAACTCAGAATTGATTTGAGGAGGAGTATCAGAAGATGTAACGAATCTATTAGATTAGTTAAAATGTCTTAATGATTAATACTTAAGGCATCAATATGGATTACTCGGGTTCGACTTAGACCTTAATCCAAAAAAAATTATTTTAAAATATTTATTTAATTATTTCTGTATAATTTATAGAAAGTTATAAAACTTATCCGATATGGAATAAGTTCGAATATTCTAAAAATTAAATATTTTATGTATTTTAATAACAGGATTCATTTTAATAATAATTATAATTGATTTTCAGAACTTTTTGGAAAGATTTTAACATTTTTTACCTTTACTACAATTTAAAATCAAAAATTATAAATAATAGCTGTTTGAATCAAAAATTTTTATTTTTTTTTTTGTGTTTTTATTAATCAATTTAATTATTTAACTATTTAATAAGTAATTCAAAAAATAATAATATTAATAATAAATAAATAAATAAATAAATAAATAAAACAAATAAATAAAGTAAAAGTATATAAAGCAAAATTCATTAACTTTTAATAATATTACTTATTAATAATTTATTTTTAGTGCTGACCTGTTGTTAATAGCCTGCGTTACAGAAGGAATATTTAATATAAATAATTAATATCTGTATAATTACAAATAAATTATATTGTTGATAAATAATATCTATTTATATTTTAATATGTAATGAATAAAATGTATAAAAAGAATTTATTTGAATTAAAATAAAAATTCTATATTAACAAATATAAATAAATAAAATTAATACTTTTACTTAATATTATTGAAAAATATTATATTATTATATTTTTAAAAATTAAAACAAAAATGAATTAATGATATAAAATTAATTCAATAATTCTAAAAAAAAAAAAAATATTAAAATATTAATAACTAATAAAAAATAATATATATATAATAAAAATTAAATAAATTAAAATTTAAGCAAGGTAATACTTATCCCCTACTAAATTTTAACTTTTCTTATTCTCAATACACCCGATCTACTAGATGCTGATATCGTTACAAAAATAATAATGTATAATATAGAATGAAAAAAAAATATATATATATAATATGATAAATTAATAATAATAATATTTAAAAATTTTACATAATTAAATTATTGTATTTATATTACTAAATAATAATAAAAAAAAAGTTATTACAGCGTTATTAAAAGATTTACCTTTATTTTAAAATTTCAATAGTATAGACGCGTGGTTAATGGAGTTCCAAAATGTAATGTATATATATATATTATAAATAAACAAGAAAGAATAATTGTATATTTAAAACAATGTGTGAATAAAGAAATATGAAGTATCATAAATAATTTAAAACAACAAAATGAAAAAAGATATCAAACTTTTATCGAAATTAAAATCGCAATATAGAAAATTATTTAGATATTAAATCCAGTGACAAATGTTGGAAGCAAAAATCATTAAAAATAAAAAAAAATAATGAAATCATTAAGCAATTTAATTTTAAATATAAAGAAAAATATCAGAAATTGGATGAAAATTATAAAAAATTAATTAATATGGATGATTACATTGAAGCAATTAAAACCAGAATTTATCCAAATATGCTTGTTCTTGAGAAAGATTGTCAGAATTACAGAAAAATATATATAATAACCATGTTAATAATAATACAAACCTGAAAATGATAATGATGAATTCTAATGGAAAGAATATAATAAACTTATAAATAATAATTAGAAAAATAAGCACGAAAACATGGAGACTTTTTCTAATTATTGTGAAAATGATTCTCAATACACATTAATGACAGAAGAAGATAAAATAAAGGGACAAGAATTTAAAACTAGGGTTATCAAAAGGAACGACTCCTACAATTATAGTAACAATGCAAAAATAATAATAAATAATAATTATAGATCGTTGAAAGAAAAAAAAAAAAAATCTAATGATAGTATTCTTTGGCGTAATAATATTTCTAAATCAATATATGTATATCAATAGAAAAAAAAAATTACACTCATACTCAAACCCGGGTTCAAACCAGAGACATTTTGCTTGTAAAGCAAACGTAATTACCACTACAATATTTGAATATTTTATTTTTCTAGTAAAGGGTTGGTTTAACGTAACTAATATAACAAATTTAAGAAAAGATTTTATTTGATTAGTTAGATTTGCAAACTGTTTATAAATACGTTACGTAACCAACAGACTATCATTGGATAGGCGTTACGTTACCATGTATCTATTACATTTCTTTTGATAAATAATGAAAATTAATTAATTAATAGGAAATAATTATAATATTAAAAATTAAAATTAAATTAATCAAAAGTTTAAATAGTTAAATAGTAAATAGAAATAATTAGAACAATAATTATAATTAAATTATCGATCATGATACTAATTTAAATAACGTCATAATTATATTTTTGTAAACAAGTTTTGTTTATTTGTTTATAATATTAAAAATATTAAACACATAGCAGAACAATTCCAAAAATTAAATATTTCAGTTGATGAAATAAAATGACATTGAATTATGTTACGACAGTGATTCGGATAGCGATAGTAGTATAGTTAGAATAAAAGAAATAAATTTAATTGAAACTGTAAATAGTATAATGGAAACAAATTTAACAGAACCTGGAAATAGTATCAAAGAAATAAATTTATGTGAAATAAGCACCACTTCAGAAGAAGAAGAAGAAGATAATAATAATGATAATCAATGTTTAGAATTTAAAACTATAGATGATACAAGAAAATTCAATTATGATACAAATTATTGTAATAACAGTAGTGAAAACAACAAATTTAATAATAATAACACACCGAATAAAACAGAAAACACAAATATTTTTCAACAAGATAATAATATTAATTATGATTTAAATAATTATTTTATTAATGGTATTTATGATAGCAATGAATAAAATAACAGTAACTATAAGAATTTAGGTATGAATATTAACATACGCAATAATGAAATAGCAAGTTATGAATAAAAATAATATTTCGAATAAAATACCAAAATTATGAAAATGAAAATCCTGTTATGACAGATAAATATATAATTGAATCATTTCAAGATAAAATAAACAAAATAAATGGTAAATTGAACAAATTATTGAAAATGTTTGAATGAAATTGAAGAAAAGAACAATAACATCCAGAAAATTATTAAAAGAATATTTACAAATTATGAGATTTAATAATACATATTTTGAAAAATTATCAAAAAAAATATGAAAATAATTAATCAATATAATAATATTTTAAATGGTAATTACGATAATCCAGGAAATGAAATTGATAAAAATGTAAACAAAAAATAGTCTAGGCGAAAAAACTGGTGAAAATTATAAATATATGATGAAAAAATATTTTTTCAGAAAAAAAAATTTTTTAATAATAATAAAAATTTGTCAAAAAAATTGATCAAAAATCAAAAATTAATACAAATGAGCAAAATTTGAAATTTAATTCTAATGTACATGCGTTTGAATTTAAATCGGTATATAACAGAAATAATGAGATCCATTACCCAAAGTTCAACGAAATTCAAAAGAAAGTAGAAGGAAGGATATTTGGGAAATTTCAGAAGGGGATAAGTGGACTATATTAAGGAATATTGAATATGACTGAAGAAGAATCAATTAAAGAAGGTCAATCATCGGTATAGGAAAATTTTATCATAAATTTTTTTTTCAGAGACTAACCGAAAAACTTTTAAATAACCGTTAAAAGAATATCAAGAGGCTATTAGTTCCAGAGTTTTTTTTTTCCTTTGTTCCCAGTGTAGCCTTAGCAAAGAACAAATGGAACTACAAAGAAGCATATATAGAATTACTGAAGCTTTCAGAAAAGGCTGAGAAAGAAATAAAGGAGAAAAAAAAATGAAAGTATACAGGAGAAATAGAAAAAATGAGGAAAAATATCACAATGTTTACTCAAGATGGTAATCATATGACAAGGCATCCATTCTATTGTGGGTTTTTTAAAGAAGAAGTGGACCACAACTAACCTACTTCTGATGGGTATAATAGAAATGAATAATTTCGGTTATAGAAGAAATTTAAATCAAAATATTAGTCGATATAATAGTAGTAGCTATGTGACTAATTCCAAGGAACATTATGAGAGAAGAAGAAATTTTAAAGGAGATTGAGATCAATATAATAATAAATATAGCAATAGTCTTAATAATAATAAAAGAACACTTAGTGAAGAACCAAAAACATGAAAAGCAAAATGAATCTTAGCAATATTGCTCAAAAGAAAGTGAAAGTTAGTCGGGTTTCCGAAAAGGAAGAAGGTAAAAATGGAACATTAAGAAGGACATTTTTCACCAACATATTGTCATCGATGTTGAAGAAGAAGAAGAAGGACATTACGTTCAAAATTGTTCACTACACTTATAATAAACAACATTACCGAAATGGAAGAGAAAGGTCTTTTTTCTTTTTTAAATTGCTAGATGGAAGAAGGAATACTTCCAGTAAGCAAACCAGTCCTATTGACCGTACCGTCTGGAATGCATGAGAAAAATAATAATTATCATGAGGAAGGAAGCCCACCAAAATCATTCGTAGTAGTAGTCCTTCCAGCAATTAAAAAAGGAACTATTTAGAAGAAGCAAGTTCACTCACCATATAATGTTAAGAATAATAATAATGAGCACACAAAAAAAAAAAATAAGTTTACCATCATCCAATAGCCCCCATACCCTTTAACATACCCTTGCTTTGCTTTGAGGTATAATCAACACTCATTACTACCAAAGGATGATGGAAAAAATTTAAAGAAAATAATAAATAACTCAATAGATGAAGAGAATAAACAGAGTAATAAGAATGAGAAGAGTAAGTCGGATGTAGAACTTCATAAGGATAACGAGAAGATCCATTAATAATTAACTAGTATTTTATATTATTAATGAACTTGTTTGATGGAGAAAAAGCAAGATTAAAAATTATATAGTATAAATATTTAAAAAAAAAAAAAAAATTAACTAAGGTATTTTCTTATCATCTAAATCTAATGAATTTCCTATCTCCTATAAGTTCATTTTACTAAAAATCGAAAATGAATTATGTAAAGGAATATCTGTATCTGTACATTTTGTATATTACAACTATGAAATTCTTTCGTTTGAAAGAATTTCCTTTTATTTTATTTTATTTCTTTTTTTGGACTTCAAACCTTTTGGTATTAAATCATATTTATTACCTACAAGATAGCTTAACGACCGTCCAAGGTGAACTGAACTGAAGATATCTACCACGAATACCAATTATTATTATTATTATTATTATTATTATTTATTTATTTTTTTTTTTTTTAAAAAAGAGTATATTTTTAAATAAGAACAGAAAATTCTAAGCTATTCTTGTTCCAGTCTTATAAAAAAAAAAAAAAAAAAATTGTCTTTCTAAAAGTATTTCATTTTTTTTTTATAAAAAAAAATAAAAAATAAAAATAAAATAAATAAAATAAAAAAAAAAAAAAAAAAAAAAAAAAAAAAAAAAAAAAAAAAAAAAAATTGTCTTTCTAAAAGTATTTCATTTTTTTTTTTTTATAAAAAAAAAAAAAAAATAAAAAAAGTAGAACATAAATGTAGAAGAAATATAGATACATCTATAAATACATTATACCATATTTTTTATATACTTTTAAATTTAAATTTTATTGTAAAATAAAAATATTATTATTGTATATTGCTTGATGTAGTTTTATTTTAAAATATTAAATAAAATTAAAATACATATTAAAATAAAGATAAAAATAAAAATAAAAATAAAAATATAAAAATAAAATATAATATAATATAATAAAATTTAAATTATTATATCAATAAAAAATTAATTGAAAAATAACAAAAAAAAAAAAAAAAACAAAAAAAAAAAAAAAAAAAAAAAATTTCTTTTTTTTCTTTTTTTTTTTTTTAGTATTTAATAGTACTTACTTTATTAGTATTATTACTATTATTACTATTATTATTTATATATTTTTATTATTTATAAATTATATATATATATAAAGGAGTATAATACATAAAAAAAAAAAAAAGGGAGATTATAAATATATTGGGAGTAATTAATAAATATATATATATATACATTTATATATATATATATATATATTTTTTTTTTTTTTTATTTTTTTTCATTATTATTTATTTTTTCATTTTTTCATTTTTTATTTTTTATTTTTATTTTTTATTTTTTATTTTTAATTTATTTGGTTTTAACTATATATATATATATTTTTTTTTTCAATTTTTAATTTTCAATTTTTTTTTTTTTTTTTTTTTTTTTGATTTTGTTTCTGTGTTTTTTTTTTTTTTTTTTTTCCTTTTCTAATTAGTATGTGAATTTAAACTGGAACTGCTACTGCTATTACTATTCTGCTTCTTATAAAGCAAATATTGATTATAAACAGATTTAGATGCATATGATTTATTAAAGTAGAAGAAATTAATCTTAGATTGAGGTTTACTCTTTCTAGAAAGCTTTCTACCCTTTCTATTACTTTTAAAGTGAGAATCAAGTTCTTTTTGACTGACTGAACATACACATTTAATACAATCTTTTTGACCTGGTTCCTCCTTTCTTGTAAATTCATAATCTTTAAAGAAAATAATATTTTCAAGATCATATTTAAATCCTTCTTTTTTAGCTTCCTTAGTGGAAGTAACAACCATAATACAATCACTAAATAAGTAGATATGTTTTGGGAATTGTCTACCGTTACAAGTAACATCATATTCACTGAGAAGTTTTCTATGAGATGAAAGGAATTCTACTGGATAATTCATAATTTTATTCTTTAATTTAAAGAATTTATGAACTTGTTCATTTTCACCTTGTCGTTTATCCATATTAGCACCATAAATCTTCAAGTATTCCATTTCAACTTCTATTTCTTGGAAAATATCTTCTTCAAAAATACATTCTTGAATTCTACCCAACTCTAAACGGTAAGAGAAGAAACGATGTAAAATATTGTAATGGAAATCATTGAATGTTGATCTGTGGAATTCTTTTTTATGTTCATTAAATATGGATTCAATCTTAGTATATTTATATTG